CAAATCCTCCATAGATGAAAATTTGTGAGTCCTTTCATGTCTTTGTAATTTTATTAGGTATTTGGAGGAGAGAAATGGATTCCACGGTCTTCCCTGGGAGCTGGAATGGTGATTCTAGGTTACTAGGACTTCATCGTTACATTTGCTTGGATTTTGAATTCTCAACGTTTATTGGATGATTCTCTGGCTCGATCTTTCTTTTTATAAAGTTTGTATAGATTTTTGAGATGTGGGATTCACGTTTTCATGCTCTTTTTTTTTCATAAGAAGATGCATAGTAAACTACAAGATCAATTCAAAGATGCATATGCTCATCATTAAGGAGGAGACACCCAAAAAAGTAAAGGAATTGCACTCTAATTCAAACTCAATTTACTAAGATTTCCAAATGATTAATCGTTTTACTTTAGTTTAAACTTTGCAGAAGCAGTATGTCTTCAAGTAGGAGAATGATTCAAAGGATTTCAAGGAGTTGACTCTAAGAAAAAGGGAGGCCACTTATAGCTTTCGACCAGGTTGAACAAATATCACCTTTTCTATTCTCTATTTTTCATTTGGAAAGAGTATGATTTGTGTTACAATGAAAGATTATACTATCATTATACGTCTTTAGAATAAATGGTTTTTCATCATTTATTTATTGCTACTTTGTTTTTTGCCAAGAAATTAACATTAGTTATATCTTCTTTTACTTATAAATAATACAAAAAGTCTAAAGAAACAAGCATGTAAAAAAAATTAAGCATGAATTTATGGAACATGGTTTAGTCACGAATCAGATAGAAGAGCTCTACACGAGACGTAGATTGTGTAGATGTACATAATAATCAATATTATTTTCACAAAGCAAAAGACTATAATAATAATATCAAGAGGTTTTGAAAATCAATTTCCAAATTAAACTGGTTTTGCGAAAGATATCATTAATGGAAAATTGCCATGTTGAAAATTATATTATAATGGGATGAGATACATAAACATTGATATTTATATATGGGGCAATTACAAAAATGACATTTTTTGTGTGCACATTTGCAAGAATACCACTTAAGAGTGTCCATATACAAAAAATGCTACTAATTATAGATTTATAAAGCCTATATCTTAAAATTCTAAACCTTAAAAAATGTTTTGACACCTAAAATCCCCTAAACACTCAAAACTAAACCCT